GTCAGTTCGGACTGATGCCGATTTTATAGTGAAATTAAGGATGGAGAAAAGTAGGTATTTAAAGAGGAGGTAGTTAACATTAAGATATATCTACTATGACCTCGCTTCATATTGATGGAGGATGGAGCTCCTTCGTGTTTCCCTTAGCTTTCACTGTGAACTTTCGATATGATAACATTAATTTATGTTCTTGCCATTACAAAGCATCACTTACATCAACCATCGAATGAAATCTCTACATTTATCGCAAATGTCAACAAGTCTCGGGTCGTCAAATGTGACGCAAATCCTGGGTTCGAATCCAAGATTCGCCCTGTTTAGGTTTCTAGGTTTCTCAGCACCATGCTGGTGGATTTCATTATAACGTCTACACCTTGAATAATTTCCTCCACCACGAAGCAGACACGCTGTGATATAACTGAAATACTGTGACACTAAATTCACGCACTCGACCGTGTCTTAAATAGCTGTAGACACACCTGTGTCTTGTATAACAATATTCGGATTAAAGAGGTTTCACAGTTCTCACTGTCATTCATTATTAAAACTCCTCTTTTAACTCAACAAAGAAGGATGTATTCACTCAACGCTATCAAAGACAATATAAACTATGCTAAAGTAAACACTTGACAACTTTCAACGTTTATTCTACAACTTGTAGCCATTTAACAAATGTTACAACTGTATCGTTCCCGGCTGCAGCTGTCGACGCTGTTGAAGCTGCCCCTGGGGAAATACTCACACGATTGATCTTTCTTTAGTTGTCAGGTTCCTCTTGGTTCCTCTGAAACGGTATTCCGGAATATAAAGCTGGAAGGGATGAAAGAGGCTTGAATATAGCTCCAAATAACAGCTTGTAAGACCATCTCATACTTTTCTATGCCCATATTAATGTCAGTTCTGTTTAAAAATTCGTTTTATATTTGTTGTTAACATCGCACTCACCAATATTCCAGCTACATGACGGTTGTCTGTAAATAATCGAGTCTGGGCCAGAAAATCCTGTGATTGATATCAGGAGCATCGATCCACGCAATTGGACAACCCGATCCCGTTAGTGGCCTCTTACGCTAAGCATTGGTTGCTGAAGATCATAGGTCCTGGGGAATTAGAATCGTGGAAATTAGATTTAGGTTCGTGTTAACTGTTATATTCCGGAGATGTCTGTACACTCAGGTGATTTAGTTGGGAGATAAACATGAAGCGTTTCCAGATTTGTAGGCGTTGTAACATATACGGATTCGTCCGTGAGTAGCAGTGGTGCGATGTGTGGTAATCGGCGTCCATTCAAACGGTGGCTGGTCGACAATACCTAAAATGACTGTGTTTTCATATGACCGATAACTCGAAAAGGAATATCCCTCATGCAGTGAAGTAAATGGTGATTCCCTGTATGGCGTTGACATTCTCTGCTCTTTTTATTCCGATGAATTCGTAAAGGGACAAAGTCAGTTTTTCATTTGTCACGTCTGTGAAGAGATAAATGGAGAAAAGTCCAACCACCAGCTTCATTGCAAATTGTAAATGTCACGCACGTGTCCTTTGCGACTCTTAAACATTTCTTCTCAAGAATGCAAAGGCCATTCCAAATTGGGTCACACAGGTGTTTGAAAGTAGGTCGTTTAATGTTAAAGAGGATATAATTGAAGATCTCCCATCTGTTCCCGTCTGAATTCACTTAAACTTTATAAAACTATAAAACGTCCACGCCAGAGAATAACGACTTTCCGTAACAGACTCCATTAGGCATAAAAGGCAAAATGCCTATGAACACTATATGAATGGATCACTGAAAGCCTGGGGTGACACCAGGTGTTCGCAAAAAGGGTAAACATGTACTGTTCAACTTCACAAACGCAAAAACACTTTGAAGTCAATTCTTATAAATAAATACATCAACATTAGTAACTTCAAAGAATGCTTATTTGTTCATTAACACAAAAATAACAGTCAGGTGACAGCAACTCCAGTTCTGTTACGGCACAAGCCACGCCGATGCATTTATTTGACCTTTTCGCCCGTGTGTGAGTGAGTTGCAATCTACAAAAATAATCGGGGCGAACCGGGATTCGAACCCACGATCATACGTTTCTAGCGTGTCTAATGGGCGTAAGCGAATTGTGGCGACTAAGACGACTGGGTCAGCAGTGCTCTGTGAGGGAAATACATCATATCAATAATTGTAGTTGCAACTGCCAATGCGTTCTTTATCAGAAATACCAATAAAAAAATTCATAAGTTCAACTGCAAAATACTAACGGAGTAATAAGTCTTTTGAGAAGTGTTGTTATGTTTTCAATTAGTACGTTTTGCATGTACATATGTTACGGACGATCGGGTAGCCTTGTGGTTAAAGCGCTCGCTCGTTACGCCGAAGACCCAGGTTCGATTCCACGCATGAGTACAATGTGTGAAGCCCATTTCTGGAGTCCCCCAGCCGTGATTACTGGAATATTGCTAAAAGCGGCGTAAAACCATACTCACTCACTGCATATACTAGTATATGTTACAGTCGATGTGTAAAATGACTGAAATTTTCCCTTTGGCAATTTACAAAACACCAAATTATCTAAATCATTTTTCCATTTATTATAATTATTATGATAACGAATTCCAAACATTTTTGATGCTCTGTTTTATCACATTGTGACTAAATATGATATGATAACAAAAAAAACGAAAGTCAATGTATATTTTTTTAATTCAGTCAATAGTGATGTCTTTAGTCTCTTTTGAACTTCTTAATAACCTTTAGTCAATTTGACGCGAAAAATATCTGTGAAATGTCTTTAATATGTTGGCTTTTTGTGAATTGCATTTGTGAAATTTTCAGTCATTTTACACATTGACTGATTTACACATAACCAGCAGCACAAACACGCAGTTCTCTAAAGGTCGTGCACCGTCTTTAGTATAATCAAACATTGTTGAGATATTTACTACTGACTGATGCAGGCTTCACTTCACTTCACTGATATTTGTAATCACCAGTTATCCGCATAACGCAGCAACTCCCGAGTTCTAGATCCGTATTGCTCATAACATGGCGTTATAAATTTGACCAATGTCTTTATGAACAGTCGGTACGCCGTGTTGTCCAGTTCACGTGGAGTTGAGTCTGTGAACATATGTTTCTGCTTGTACTTGTCGCGTGTCTCCGCCTCCCGCAAGCCTTACTGTCGTCTCGATCACGTCAATACATGAGACGTACATGTTTTTACGTTCTTGTTCCCTTGTCCGTTTGATGAATTCGTCGCCACGAAGCTTCACCCCGTGTTGTCAGCGGGAAGCTAATGGAAAGGCTAACATATAGTGCCCGAAATGAAATCATGTATAAGGTTAGTTAGAAATAATTCTATTAAACAACCCTCGAGTGTTAAGGAACTCTCAAATCTCTTAGTTTAGAGCTGAAGTGAGGATAAGCATAGGCTGCTAGATTTGAGAAGCCGGTGAGAATGGAATGAGTGTTTAATATTATGTATGCTCTTGGGTCTGTAGGAATTTGTAAATGCGCTATCGTGTCACTGGATTTTCTGGACAACACTTGATTGTCTGGTTTGGTAACAGGCCATCACCCTACATGGCAGGAGTGCTGCTGTACGGCGCCAGGCAACAAACAAACACTTACTTTTTATGCAAATTGTGTGAGTGGCGGGTGCTACATGTAGAGCAGGACATGCTTACCCTTGTCGCGAACACCTGGTTATCCCACTCATGTATGCCCTTGTTGTTACTGTTAATCCTCTACTGGTAATCCTCAACTGTTAATCCTCCACTTGCTATATATATTCTGCACTATGTCCCTCATTCAGTCTTGCTTGACAACGGTATAAGGATCTATACCGAAACGTCGCCTTTTTACAGTATTAAAGAAGTTGTTATCCAGAAAATTGTGTCTATCTTGTCATCCGCCGACTTCTAAGTAATGCCTATCAAACAAGTTAAACCTGGTGTCATCACTGACTTTAAGTTATCCATTGACATAATTTATGCAGGTACAAACCGGTGCGAACACTTTGCGCAAGTCCTTAACTCTGAAGCAAAATATGATATTATTTATGAATAGGCGGTATGTTCTGTTGTAAATGGCTCTAATATTTAGTTAAAAATATACTGAACAACAAACGTTCCTGTCATTGTGACTGACTCACTGAGGTAGTTCTTAACAGACCTTTTTCATCTAATGGTGATGTTATTTGAATACATGTGTTATGTCAGATGTTTCTGAAGAGCAAGTTGTGCATACATACGCTCGTGTCACCACGCTTTTTGAGGAATTATTATGCGATACAGCTGAATAAAATTGTGTATAGATCAAGGCCCGCATCCCTTGAGATAAAAAATTATAAGAATTGACTTAAGTTTCATTTTATGTGAGTTCAATGCAGTATGAACCTTCATAGAGTGAGGGCCAAGCATTGTATGAACGTCGTCACAAACTCCGAGGACGGCGTGGCCCTCACTCTATGAAGGTTCATACTCCAATGAACTCACATAAAATGAAACTCAAATCTTAATTATGTGCAATCACAAGTTATGAACTTGTATACATAAGTAATGAGGTGATTACTTGTACTACAACTACTGATAACAACAACACCCAGGTGTCATGTATTGTGTCACGTATTTGAATACATGCAACACAAACTGAGATAATGTGCTTATAGAGCATGTGCTCTCAGCCAATTAAAATAATCATTATAGTGCTTATAATTCAGTGCTCTCAGTCGTGATGTTTTAATGACTAACAAAATGTCAAGAAAGTGTTAAACATAAATTATATGTATTAATTATAGGTATAGACTTTGACCCCTATTGTTATATTGCGGGTGTTTCTATGCAGCGTGGGGCGGTGGGATAGCCTAGTGGTTAAAGCGTTCGCTCGTAACGCTGAAGGTCCTGGTTTAATTCCCCACGTTGATACAAGATCTTAAACCCATTTCTGGTACCACCGTGATATTGCTGGAATATTGCTAAAAGCGGCGTAAAATCCAACTCACCCACTCTATCAAACGTTCTGCTGTCGTCGACATAGGACTCTAGTGAAGGTCTTGTCGACGGGGGTCGCATCAGGGTCTCCGCTGGGGTCTCCCTGTCCCCTACCTGGTACCACCACCACAGCCGGCTAACCAGGGAGTGTGACACATTCAGTTATCGCGCTGTCTTCCTGATCACCCCAGTGGCTCTCAAACGTCCCTCTTCTCGGTGTCACCGCATCGTTGTCATTGTAATAGCGACTGATAAATGATAAAATCGAAAAAAAATCCATAATCATAAATATATAACGTCAACGACAGAGGATAATCAGTCACGTTTATCTGCCGAAACACATTCGTTGGACGTAAAAGGCAAAAAAGTGATTAAAATCATGTGACGAGATCAATGAAAATCAGTGTGACACTAAGTGTTCGCGAAAGGTGTGAGCATTTCCTGCTCTACCGGAAGCACCTGCCAATACCTAAAAGAAATATCTACTTAAAGCAGAGTATATTGTACGATTCCGACTATATCATGAGTAAGCGTACTGATTAAAGTACCCCTTCACACACTTTTATACGTGTTCTGTATGCGAGTACGTACATGTAGTTGTGAAAAAGTATACCTATCCATTGGTGAGTTTGAGCACATCTGCCTATGTGTCCGGAGAGAACAGGTTTCCCGTACTACTCACATATCTACTTGATATGACAGTAACCTTTGACTGACTGTTTGTATGCAACTTTACATAACGATATCACTTTCAGTACGCCGTACGATTTATCAGCAGTATATTATAACTAAAATAATACTGAAAATCATGTAATTAAAGTACATATGTGAAACATACACACGAATAGAATGTTCAGTTGCGTGCATGTAAACAGCGTTCCTAAACCGAGGATACCGTGAGGTGGTAGGCGAATTCCGACTTGCCGACTCCGATATATATATATACATACTGAACAACAAAAGTTCCTGTGACATTGAATAAGATTTATTGCAAAGTTATGTTTTTTACAAAATCTGAAACAATTTCTTTTTGCAACAGATAAAAGACTCCTGTAAGTGTTCAAATGGTTTAATTTGCCATACTGACTTCAGAAAATGCGTGATTTCTTTAAAAAAACATGAACATGCCAAAATTTCAATTTACAAATCAATAGCGTGTGTGTCCACCTCTGGTTGCGATGCAAGCAACACATCTTCGTCTGAAATGCATGGGGCTTGCATAAAAGTCAACTTTTGCATGGAATGCATGCTTTTCTGTAGCAGTTGCATATTTGTGACTTGATTCCATACATGCACTACAATATTGAAAACCAAACTTTACTTGTTTGAAAAATACATATAGGTTATCACACTTGTGTGTTTGGGGATGGTAAATATCCTGCATTAGGAATAAACATAGTTATAGTAGTGTTTATTCCTAATACAGGATATTTACCTTTCCCAAACACACAAGCGTGATAACCTCTTTATCATATAATGTCATTCTTTAATTCTGTGCTTTAAAATCGCTTTCCCTCTCTCACAAACATTACCGAAACATTGCGAGTTTTCCTGGAATGCGGGCATTAATATTTATTACGTCACAGGGTAAGTGATGTGTCAGTCGGACAGTGACAGTAGCCAATATAGTTCCAACTGAAATCTGTTTCTTATACAGTGGCGAAGCAACATATACGCAAAACAACAGTTATTTTTAAGTGCCTTTCGTGGCAATCCATCGGTCAGTCCGCTAGAGTAACTGCCCTTTGTCAAAGGGAAGCTACTCTAACCCTAGTCTATCAGACGTCACGGCCACGGTCAGAAGTTGTTGACAGTCGGTCTGTCCTGCCATAAAGTTAAGAAGTGTAGTCAGATGTACACGCAGCGACAAAACGAAACAAGGTAACAATTCAAACATATTTCGGCCAAATCCAAATATTTTTATTTGTGGAGAAGGTTTCAAGCCGCAGAGGTCTACAAGCACAGATATGGCTACTGATCCCGCTTGGCTAGGCCTCGTGCCCTCTCACAATTGTTTCGAAATTTATATCTCCAAAATTGCCAAAAACTTATAAAATGCCTTAGCTACGTCACAGTTAGACAATGATTTTCAGTATATTAGACTGTTCTTTTGATAATGATAGCAATTATCCCTGTAGTTTATCCAGATTCCTGATGGTTAATTCTGACTCGATCGCCGAATGACGATGGCGACGCCATATGTTTGTTTACAAACAGTGAAAGTAGTCCTACTTGACCTTTGATATTTGCATCTCTATCCGCATATGACCCGAACGGATATCGTTTTTATGGTGTCCTCCCCTTTGGCCTACGTCCCATTTGGCCTACGCTTTTAGAGGATTAAATTGCGGTAATAAATCGGTTGGTTGATGACTCACTAATTACCCGTCTCCCCCAGAGTGATGAAAATGAACCAGTCCAACAACAGAGAAATACAAGCTAACACAGAATCTTTTTAATTTAATTTAATCAGGATTCCTACTGTATCTGCAAATGCCAAGGAAGATATTTCTCCTTGCTGGTGTCTGTCGCGGAGTCTTGACAGCTGACCATCGAAGTACACATATTTTCTCTTCCGCGGTGGAGGCTTGGCACCATGGGCAAGCTGGGCTAGATGTCAGGTGTGGCTAGCTTCCAGTGATTTTAAGACATTCAGGAAGCTGAACATGTACATTGTTGGATGGGCAGAGTTCATCTTGGCATTCAAGTGGCTATGCCAACCTTCCAGATGATTATTAGTTCTTGGACCAACATTGTCATGGTGACTCCAGATTTCAACTCCAAATCTAGCATCGTCCCCCACCCAGTTTGACACGACATAATCATTGAACAGTTGAAATGCAGGACTCTCAACCTCAGCCTGTTCTAAAGCCTCAATAGCTACGCGCCATACGTCCTGAACATCAGCGGGAGGCAAAAGAGGCAGAGCAGCAGCTCGTCTCACCCATTGCTTGACGTCGGCATTCTGCTTGTAGAGTCGCACTAGTCCTAAGTCCTGCATCCAGTGGAAGTAGCATCCACGGATGTTGGTCATGGGGAACGTGATCCTCAGGGCTTCAATGACTGCACTCTCAAAGTCTATTTGTATTGTCTCCGGGTCTAACTCGGCTCTGGTTACCTCTACAACCAGTGACATCAAATGTTCAAATACTCGAATGTACGTTTCTTTTTTCCTGTCTGGCATGAGACAAAACACAAGTGGGGTCATCTTTTGTCCTATCAGAGTATGGATTACGTAGAGCTGGCTCCAAAGAAGAGGGCAAGCATAAAAGGTACCATCCATATTGATCCTATTGACTAAATACACAATAGTCAAAGAAGCCAGTTGTATACAATCCTTATGATCCTAAGTAATGAAACCAATAATAGTTAATCCTATTGACTAAATACACCATAGTCAAAGAAGTCAGTTATATACAATCCTTATGATCCTAAGTAATGAAACCAATAATAGTTAATCCTATTGACTAAATACACAATTGTCAAAGAAGTCAGTTATATACAATCCTTATGATCATAAGTAATGAAACCATTGTTACCAATAATAGTTATCCTATTGACATTAATCAACTTCACAGAAGAAGCCTGTGTGAAATAACAAGAGCTAATTAAGCTCAAAACAAACCATTTTTTTCAATAGGGGTGTAGGTTGTTTGTGGTAGGCCAAATGGGAAAGGTCATTTCTGTTTCTGTAGGCCATATGGGACGTAGGCCAATATGGGATGCACCGTTTTTATCCGTTGGCTTTATCCTGCCGAGAAACCTTGACCATTATATGATAAACTAAAATATTGGTGTCACAGGAACTTTCGTTGTTGAGTATAGGTCGGAAACGGTCGACATGCTTACTCTTACAATAAGTTACCAATGATGTAACTAATATTTCCTTCAGTTTACGTGATAAATGTTACATAGGTAAACACAGGTCAAGTGTGTGACATAACCTATGTACTATTAAAAGCGGCGTTAACCTGCCTTTGCATGTGTTTGTGACCAGTGGGGCAGGAAACGTTCACGAACACCTGGTGTCATGACTATTTGATAGCGATTCATAAACACATGCTGATGATATAGTTGGAGTCGTGCAATGGACTCTGCTTTTTATGATTATAGAAATGTCTTTTCATTAACTCACTCACTCATTCGACGATATTCTTCCCATTATTCATGGAGGGGCGGTAGGATAGCCTAGTGGTTAAAGCGTTCGCTCGTCACGCCGAAGATCCAGGTTCGATTCCCCACATGGTTACAATCCGAGAAGCTCATTTTTGATGTCCCCCCGCCGTGATATTGCTGGAATATTGCTAAAAGCGGCATAAAACCATACTCACTCACTCGTTATTCATAGTAGCCATATGGCATTTACGTCTAGACGTTGTATTCCGGGCATCTAACTTCTAACTACTGTCCAAGTACAGACTTGGCTATGTACAATCCAGATTTTAATTTACTGTAATTAATAAAGCAGATTGGTAATGTCAGAGGTGCGAGGAGACCTATCACCATGACGTTATGAACCGCGTCAGGAACAGTAGTGTTTACCTGTCTCACACAATGACATCCAGCAAGCCTCGAGTCTTCTAACAGGCAATTAGCTTTCACTATCTGGATCTCTTGTATGACAGCAACAAATTAATTCCTGTCACTTTGCAGCCAGCTATTGCCTTTGTGATTGATGACTTGGACACAGTTCTGAAAGCGACTAGAACTTACGTAGGTAGCAAATGCTAGTAAGAATACCTGTTGGATTAATAATGAATCTCAACTCAAGAAGAAAGGCATTACAAGGAATATACGGTGTCAAAACTCACACCTCGATGGCTTAAGATTATGTCTTTGCAATAGTGTTACTATGACGGCTACTGCCAAGTGTAGACATTTCTCATTACTTTGCCATGTTACAGTTTCGCTTTAAAAGAACGTACATGTGTCAAACTCTGTCGATAGTCTGTGTCAACTGCTATCTTTTCTCCACATGTCAAACTCTCTCATCAGCAGCTTGTGTGACCCTCTCTTCAGCATCCATTGTCACTCTTCAGCAGCTTATCTCTCTCTCCCTCTCTTTAGCACCCCTTTTCACTCTCTCTCCCTCTTCAGCAGCTCGTGTCTATCTCTCTTCGGCAGCTTATCTCTCTCTCCCTCCCTCTTCAGCGCCCCTTGTTACTATCTCTTCAGCAGCTCGTGTCACTCTCTATTCGTCAGCTCAGCTCTCTCCCTCCCTCTTTCTTCAGCAGCTCGTGTCACTCTCTATTCGTCAGCTTAGCTCTCTCCCTTCCTCTTTCTTCAGCAGCTCGTGTCACTCTCTATTCGTCAGCTTAGCTCTCTCCCTCCCTCTTTCTTCAGCAGCTCGTGTCACTCTCTCTTCAGCAGCCTTTCTCTCTCGCCCGCTCTCTTTAGCACCCCTTGTCACTCTCTTTTCATCAACTTAGCTCTCTCTCTCCCCTCTCTCTTTAGCAGTCTTTAGCAGCAATGGATCTCTTACCCTCTCTCTTCAGCACATTTGTCACTCTCTATTCGTCAACTTAGCTCTCTCTCTTCCTCTCCAGCACCCTTGTCAATCTCTCTTCAGCAGCTCGTATCACTCTCTGTTCATCAGCTAGTTTACAAAAAATCTTTTTTCGTTCTGTCAAATGTCAAACCCACACTTTGTCAACCTATTACTACCTCAATGTTACAGCTATCAACATACGTCCCCCCATCTGTCAAACTATCGCCATCTATCAGAGTTGATCCAACGTCTGTCATATATATATATATAATTGGTTCCCCTCGGCTCTAAAACACCGCATAATTACACAACAAATCCAAACCACAGTACCCCAACTCCTCGTCTAGAAGAAGAAAAAGAAGACACACCGTGTTATCCTCAGCGGGGCCAAGTTAGTTTAAGTAGCTGTTTATGTAGTCAATATATCCCGTTTGCAGCTAACAGAATTACTTCCTCCCACAAGAACCATTTCGCCGAGTCTGACAATTCTTTTAATGACTTGTGATTTGAAAGACCTTCCAAAGACAACGCCATATAACGATTATGAAACTCAAGTGTCCATTCTTTGCGTGTTGTGGTTAACTTGGGATGATAGGCTCGACAGTACACGCCTACAGTATGAGGTGAGATGAAATAGGGTTTAACGTCGCGTCCAAGATTATTGCTCTTATATAGCGACGTGCATGTACGTGTGTGTTTGTGTGGCTGCTTGTACTAGTCCGGACTGATGCCGATTTATAGTGCTAGCCCACTGAGATACCATGCCGCAGTTTAACATGAATACCCCACTCTGCACAGTATACTGACTCCGAGCCGACCAGTCCTTGTTTTAGCCACTTAATACCGAGCGCCAGACAGGGTAACAACAAGTACCATCTTTTAACGTCTTTTTGGCATGACGCTGTCAGGAATCGAACCCCGGACCATCCGCTCTCCGGGCGGACGCTCTACCACTAGACCACGGAGGCGGTCGCCTACAGTATGAGGTTCATTCTAAATTCATAAAACAAAAGCGATATCGTCCCTACAATCAGAAAACACTTTCCTTCCATGGACATTTTATTAGTCAACAACGCGTCGCAGGAGCGTTGTCAGGCGGAGTGCAATAGCATGCATGTGTTTAAACGTGATTTACACGAAGTGGCTTTTACGATAACCTAATGAATTTTTAAACCTACTACTGGCCCAACGTCACTGATTTGATTTCACTAACTTTGAGGCATTCAAACCCCGATAACATTTCGAACAGAGCAATTAATTTAAAATTCTCCCAGAATAGGGCGAAACCACAACCGGAAATTGACAGAACTGATGGTACGATACAAATGAATTCACCTACCTCTGTAGACCCACGCAAGGCAGATCGGTGGGCAGGTGCTCTTCTCCACACGAAAGCATGGTCTCTGTATTAGATGCCGTAATGGTTTATAGTGTTCATTGTGTACAGTCACCTAGTGTCATCTGACAGTCTGTTATCTCGAAGCAGCATGTATTTCGAATTGTATCCGATGAATCTTCGTCGACCGTTTCTGGCCTAGGGGTTTATGCCAACAATAAATTAATTGTATCATCTTCCAGAGGCAAGGGGGTGGTAACTTGAATTTTATAATCAGTTAACTCCTTTGCCTCGGGAAGATGAAAATGTCCAAGAAAATGCTTGAAGAAAATAATTAGGCTTTCGACTGTTGAAATTGTCTGTCACAAAAATACATTGTTGCTGTTTTAATATATTTAAGCTCATAATTTTCATTTTTAAAAATCAACTGTAGCTGAAAGCATAATACTTTCTTCATTCAAAATCCCATCCACAAGGGACGATAAAGTTTTTAACTTTTATCGCTGAGTGTTGATATATTTGATATCAAAATACACCTGGATGAGCTTCTTGTTATCATCCAGTTCCGCAATGTTTGTACAGAATACAGAATCGTTGTCGAGCTTGTATCACAGCCTTGAACTCACTAAGATAGTCGAGCGTCTTTCTACTGAATGTTTCTTTGGTTGGATGTTTGGTGAAGACGAAGAAGAAGTCCCCACATACTGTGACTTCTCTGAACAAAACAGAGTCAGTCTGTACCTTAACGTGGGCCTGTCTGAGGGCAATAATGATCCTGTTATTCAACACGGATTCAGCTGGTTCGGGAATATTCCTTTTAAAATAAGCGACAAAATGAATAACATAAAGTAAATACATAAATGTGTCTGCACGTTACTGCATTCATCTTATATCAATATAATTTACAGCTTATCGTAAGACACACTTTGAGACATCTCAGTCGATAGATTAGTTAAAGAAACGTAAAATGTTGCATTTAAATAAATAAAATACTATTCTTGGTCACTTTCTGATTGTTTAATTATTGCTTGTCATTCTTTCTCACAGTTGAATCATAGCTACGGACGCGGGTCATTCATTTACTATTTAACCCTCGTAATCTCCTTGACTTCCTTGGCCCAGTTTAACCTAAACAAGTATTAGAGAAACAGAAGAAAATATAAATTATTACAACTATTAATAATAATTACAAATAAAAAAAAACCAACATTCGTGGTTTGAATGATAGAATATTTGGTTGTGGCTAATTGTTAACACTGGATGGTACAAAACACGTTTCATTCATAAGGTCTGCTCTTATTATAAGGAAGTGCCTTTAGCCCAGGCCGACCGAGTTTTGCTTGTCTCTTGACATACAGTTTCTTTAGTTTAGGTTTCTTCTGAG